AGTCACTGAAAAAATGAATTGCATGTATAAGAGGACAAAACAAATTCTGCAGATATTTGTTGTTTTTTGTATATTAAAGAACTCCTGTCTTTGCTGCTGCATGGCCTGGCTAATCCAGGATTCAAAATCACATATACAATGGACAGCTCTATATCAACTATACCTGTGCACGTATAAACAGTTGCATTTGCCTCTCTCTGCTCAGGTTGTGTCCACAGACTTCAACAGCGACCCTCACTCCTCCATCTTTGACGCCGGCGCCGGCATCGCACTCAACGAACACTTTGTCAAGCTGGTTTCATGGTGAGTGAACAGCGTGCGGTGCAGCAGCAGGATCATGTCTCTGAAGCAGTGTGACTTCAGTGGAAACACTGGTCAGCTGATGGTGCTAAATATGGATCAGACTTTAGATATACATATACAGTAATAAGGTCAGAGGGTTTCCAGCTTTGTTTAGCTGGTGAAGCCATGAAGTTTATATTCACCTGGTGTTCTGCTTTAACAGTATGTGTGCCCATGCTCCATTGTGTTGTAAGTAGCTGCAGCAATTTTTGGGTTGATACCATTTGTTACACAGATTTGGTGCTATATTTAAACCTCTCAAGAATTAATAAAAATGGTCAAGATTTTTTGGAAGAATTGAATTTTTGAAGCGATTGGATGATGAGCACTTCTGGTCTGGAAACTGCTGAGAAACCATCTTATTGTCAATATACCCATGAAAGCCATTCCTCCTCTAAATGCTTGAGGTTTCTAGTTTGTGGCTGTAAAGTTTCATGGGGCTCTTATTATCCCAGAGATCACTATAGGTCAGTTAATACAAGAAGGTTAAGTTTCAAAAAATGGTCCAGAAAATGGCTACACTGGGGACTAATCTTGTCTTGTCTAATCAATATCTTGAGGTTAGAGGTCAAGGGATCTTTGTGAAAATGGCAATGCTGCATTTTCCCTCACCAAAACTTTGCCTAAATTTGGTACTAATGGATTCCTTGGATCTTTTCACCCTAGCTGTAAAACCCAGTCCATTACAGCCTCTTAAAGGCCGTATGGTGGTGGAGGATGCTGGCATCCCTGCTGACTGGAAGAGGTTTAAAAAGCATGTAAAAAGCATTTCATGTGACTGAAATGGTAATAATTGAATTTCTAATAACCTTGTGTTTGTATAAATTTATCCAGCTGCGTGTGGAGAAAACAACTGCTTTTGACATTTTGTTTTAATGATCTTTGCTCTGAGACAAAGTCAGTGAAATCTCTATAATTCTATCGTTCATGCTTCCCTCTATAATGGCACAGTTTTTTTCAGTCATGAATATCACGTATTCCCCACTCTGTCCACAACCTCAGTCTCTGTTCATTGTCTGTCTGCAGGTACGACAACGAGTTCGGCTACAGCAACCGCGTGTGCGACCTGGTCCTGCACATGTTCTCCAAGGAGTAAAGCCCTGCTGTGACTCAGCGTTCCTTCCCATGATTCCCTCTTCCTTCACCTGTAACTGGATGCGGCACCATCCGGTCCCGGGAGCAAACATCTTCTACGACAAACTGCTACGACCAGCTGATAATAATCATAGTAATCATAACCATACTACCTTTTTATAAGATAAAGTCACCTCTGCTCTGTCCAGCAGTGAGGACTGCAGCAAGCAGTGTTTGTAGAGATGATTTTCCATCACTGAACTGTATTGTACTGAATGGTCTGGTTGCACTAAACATGTACACTGGTTCCTTTGCACTTAAAACGTGATAATAAAGTCCTCAGTTTGTGGAAAGACTTGCAGTTTTTATCATGTATTTTGTACTGGCTGTGATTATCTCTGCTTAGACAGTAAATCTGTTTTTATGCCTCCACCCTGGCAATAGCTGTGGCTGGAGGCATTATGTTTTTGGGTTTTCCGTCCATCCGTCCATCCATACGTCCTATTCTTATGAACACGATAACTTGAAGGATTTTTTTCAAATTTGGTACAACTGTCCACTTGTACTTAAGTGTAAACTAATTATATTTTGGTGGTTGTAGGTCAAAGGTCAAGGTCACTGTGGCCTTGTCTGTCTTATTCTTGTGAACACCACATCTCAACAACAGCTTGAGTGAATTTCTTCACATTTGGTTCACCCATTCACTTGAACTCAACAATGAACTGATTAGAATTTAGCAGTCAAAGGACAAAGGGCTTTATTTAAACAGTGGGCTGCTAACCAATTTCCAGACAGACTGTTAAGCTGTTCTGTTAAGCATGCCTAGACAAGTGACTTTGACTTTGGTGCAGAATATGAAATGAATTTCTGGGAGATCAGCCAAAATCTAATGAAGCAATTAATTTGTACAACATTATTACACTGAAACCCAGAGAAGGAGACAGGAGGGATGTTAGGAGGAAGCCAGACACTCAGACACACGCAGTTTTGTGGGGCGACATGTCACTCCTGATAATCTCATAGAAATCATCCGTCTCTTTTAATTACCTCTAACAAATGATCATGACAGTCTCACCCCTCCTTGAACTAATGAGAGAGACTTCCCACTTTCAGTCATCTGATGTGCTGAAACATCACAGTTGATAGCCAGCAAATGTTTTCTATCTGCATCATCAGTGATCTACACATAGTGCCAGTGTAGCTTAATCTGTATGTCGTACAGAAAAGTTCAGCTTTATTGTCATTAAAATCAGAATCAGAGAAGGATTTGTTGCCAAGTTTTTACTAGCAAGGAATTTACTTTGGTTTTTGGTGCATTCATAAAAAATAAGAAAAATTACAATAAAAATATGACAAAGACACTGTTAAAAAGTACTTTAACATAACAAATATGTACAATATAGGTGGTTATGCACAGTTCAGTGCAGTATGAGCAAAAATATTAAGCAGGCAATGGGCTGTGGGATATAAGAGTCCATGTCATTGGAGGTCCTGGGTGTTGTTGATGAGGCCAACTGCAGTCAGGAAAAAAATGTTTTTGTGGCATGAGGTTTGGTCCTGATGGACCGCAGCTTCCTGTCAGAGGCGGGTGTCACAAAGAATTTGTTCCAGGGTGGGAGGGGCCAGCCACAATTTCCCCTGTCCGTCTCAGGGTCCTGGAGGTGTAAGGTCCTGAGGGGATCACCGACTGAAGCCAATCACCTTCTCAGCAGAACAATGACACACCGCAGTCTCCCCTAATAAAATACAGGATTACACAATTAAATTCAGCTCTAGCTCCATCCCTACATTTATTTTGAGGATGAAATGACAGGATGAGAGGCAATAAAATAAAATAACAAAAAAAGCATATAAAAGTAGCACTAAATGAAGACATATAAAGCAAAACTAAATTATTGTTATCAGGAATATATGTGTATATATAGGGTGGTGCAAAGAACAACAATTTAAAGGTGCAGCTCAGATAAGTTACATGTTGCCTGCTTTTATTTTGGCATTGCCCAGTTGCAAAGAATTTCTTGCAAACCTATGTTTTTATTACTGAGACTATTGATGAGAGTTTTATCTTGCTTTGAAGGACTTTGTTGTTTGGTCTTGGGGACACGATACATGGATGCCAGGTATCTTTTTTTTTATTACATAAATTATTATTCAATTACAAATAGGGATGCATGATAGTGTCAGCACGTCATCGGAATCAGCTAACATGCTTTTTCTTATATGCACAATGAATGAATATTACATAGATTAAAAAATATTGTATTTAATGTCTCCATCTGCTGGTGGGCCATCATGATGACAGTATGCATGCATGATATGACGTTACTACAGTACACTACAGAAGAGACTTGACCACTAAAATTAGGTAGGGGGAAAAGTGTATAAAGATATCAGTATTGGTTATCAGTCAAATGAGTTGTTAAATAATGTCATATTGGATATTGTCAGAAAATCTAATATCAACGGTACAGAGAATCTCACCTTTTATTTTAGTTATTTTCAAAAGGAAGACTTTTTGACACACTTCCATTTAAAAATGGTTTCAAGTTTAAAGTTGTTTTCATTCCTTTAGGGGTCAATCTGACTGATAATAATAATTTTATAATATAGTGAAACCGCAATATTTTCTGGGACAGCTATCGTACCGTGAAAATCTCATTCTGATGCAAACCTACTTGAAAGATTAGAGGTTTTAAAGAAGTGAAATTTAAGATCGGTCCAAAATGTTTTGGATATTTCACATAAAAAAAGATGAGAAATAGTTTCTATATTATGTTTACAAAAGGAGCAGGGAGTATAAGTGTTTGTTAACTTAGCAATAAGACTGTTATTAACTTATCATAGGACGAGGTGGCTGTGGTGTGACTTTGCTTTTTTGTGATTTTTTTATTTATTTATTTTAACTTCTAACTAACCTAACCTTGATGCCACACATATTCTTTTTCTTTGAACCTCTTTGAGTGACTTGGGCAAAATCCATGACCCTCTCTCCACCATAAATAAGTTATTAGATTTCAATAACTTACCGCTGATGTTTAAAAGTTAAAAGCTGAAGACAAAATCCTGAAGTTGAAAAAAGCCTTGGTTTTTAGTCATGCATGTTTGTGGAAATGGTTTATTTTTTGCAAAATTTTAAATGAGACATAAAGAATAAAGTGATTTTGATAAAATATCATCATTTTTAATTCAGATTTGTTTTGTTTTGTTTTGTTTTGTTTGCTTGTTTTGCTTTTTTTTATGTTTTGGGGGTTTTTTGTGTGTGTTTTTTCTGACAGAAGTGTTCCTCCCGTGTAATTTGTTCAAGGACCGTTGGAAATTGAAGCGATAGGGAATCATAATTTCTGTTTTTACAGTTTCTGGGTATGATAAATGGTGTAGTCTTGCCTTTCAAAGCATGCCTTCTTTCCTCTAAAATTGGTGGTAAAAAAAAAAAAAACTAAAATCGTTTCAAGTTGTATGACTCTGCGTTAACAAAAAAAGTCCCATAAACCATAAATCCATGCCCCTCCCTTTGTTTGCGGCTTTAGGCACAGATGCACTTCTACTCTGGTCACTACGGTACCAGAGACTGCCCGGTGCTCCTGTGTTACCGTCAGTACGGTATGTGAACGCCGCAGTCAGTCACTTGTGTTTATCCCTGAGCTCTGCTGCACCGCTGCTCGACACTCTGCTGCTCAGACTCTAATCACGTCATTATCTGGTGCAAAAGTTAGTGTGTTCCTTTCTGACTGCCAGGTACGGTGCTTATATTTTCATTATTGCTGCAAAATATCTCCGTAGCGCTTTATTCTAAGGCTTAGAATAAACAATTTATGGTCTTGCGCGTCGCCTCCTTGACTAGAATTTAGTCCTGCGTAAAAGTAACATCACATTTTGCTGCAGCGACCAGCTTTGTGTCTGCTAGTTTAGAGGCGCCTTGCTGTTGTTATTCCCTATACTGCAGCACCATACGGCAATATTCAACTGGAAGTTTGTTGTTTTGTTGCGGCTGTTAGGCCCGTAAAGCATCCTTTCAGCCGCATCATCAGAGTTCAGCCCACAGCTCCTCTGCGTAAAGGTGATCATCGGGTGACACCAGGAGGAGGACTCAAAAACGAGGCAGTTGGGCCTGATTCAGGTGCGGGACTATACTCGAGTTTAAGACGAAATTACTTGCTGAGTTGAATAAATAGAAGTCTGGGTTCATGCCGGATTTCGAGCACTTCAGATTTTCCTATTCGAGCATGAATCCGGTCCTGGGGGAGAGTGGCTTCCTGGCTCCACAGCAGCATCAGCACCAGATGACGGGCCAGACCGACTCCGCCATCCCGGAGCCAGGCTACTTCCTGGGGGACCACGGCGGGTTCGGGCCTGATGGGTTGTCTGGGCTGGACCTGGGAGCTCTGCCGCCGTCGGGCCTTGCTTACCTGCACCTAAGCACCCCCTTGCACCGCGTGCCCCCGGCGGCCACAGCGCTGCGCAACGACTTGGGATCCAACATCAGCGTCCTGAAGACTCTGAACCTGCGCTTCCGCTGCTTTTTAGCTAAAGTGCACGAGCTGGAGCGCAGGAACAAGGTGTTGGAGAAGCAGCTGCAGCAGGCTCTTGAAGGTAACTGCGGAGAGGATGGACACCCGAAGCCGCAGACCAAAGACATGGGGGTCCAGACCGGATTTATTGGACCCATTCCAGCCAGACCGAACCTCATCCCGCTCCACAACGCCAACAACTCGGCCTACCTCCCCGGCGGCCTCCTCTCTCCCACCCTGAACCCCCCTCCTCTTTTTGACAACAAATACCTGCTGGGGAACAACCTCAACCCGAGCCAAGTCTCCACGGATTCAAACTCCAACCTCACCACCTCTGGTTTCTCCATCAGCCCGGCGCTGAGTCCCGTCGACCCGTCCAAAACCATCAACAACATCAACGAGAAATACGCTTCAAACACCGGGACGAACACCGACAACATCCCCCCTCCTCCTCCGCGCTTCCTCCCCGGGACGATCTGGTCCTTCAACCACACCCGCCGGTTCGGGACCGGGAGGGAGTCATGCGTCACGGGCCCCGGGGTCTCCTGGACACACCCGGACGGTGTCGGGGTCCAGATCGACACCATCACACCTGAGATCAGGGCTCTGTACAACGTGCTGGCCAAGGTGAAGAGAGAAAGAGACGAGTACAAGAGAAGGTAAGGGTTGTTTACACTTTGATTGTAGTGTTTCTTTAAAACTTTGACATGGCTGAATAGTTTGAATTATTAATTCTGATGCAGACATTTTAGTATTTAACTGGCTGGTTTCTGATGCAGTGAGTTACTACAGTGATTTTGTGTTTCCTGTAGAGATCTGATCTTGTTAGGGACTGTTCTTTACTTATCAGAGGAGGAGGGTGACTGGGGTGTGACTAATTCTTTTTGTTATATATTTTTTGATTTATTTTGAAGCTCCCCAAAGCGACAAATACTTTTTCTTTGAGCCTCCCTGAGTGACATAGGAAATGTCACTATTTTAAGTTCAGATTTGGTTATGTGTTTTTTTCTGACAGAAGTGTTTGTTGCACATGATGTGTCACAGGCCTGTTGGAAATGTGAAAATCTGATGCTGATTTCTGTTTTTACAATTATGGTAGGGGTGGGAATCAGCAGAGGCCTCACAATGTGGTATTATCACGATACTTAGGTCACAATACAATATTATTGGAATATTGCAATATGCTGAGTATTGCAATAAATAATATTGTGATTTATTAATTTTTTTCCAACTGCAAATTATTTCCTTAAAGGAAAACTTTGTCAACATCAGTTTTACCTCAGTAGATAAAGTTTTCAGTCTGTTCATCTGACTTTAATCATTTTTATTGCAGCAAAGTGCAATGCAAAGCAGACAGACTGACCAACACTGTCATGAGGCCTGTCAGAAATGCTGCATACACCTGACAAACTGAACTGTGTGCAGATTTAACGCACTCTGTGAGGCCAGATTAAGCGCATGAGCGAAACAATTCCCATACAGGTATCCCGCTAACTGAATGGCAACAACCATGTTAGAGGCGTTGTCTGTTACAACCACAATCCCCCATTCTTGTGCTGCATTTTTCAGGAGGTCTGCAGTGTTTGCTCCAGTGTGACTCTCCATCTTTGTTTTGATGAACTTCCTGCCAAATGCTGCTGACTGAGACTGCTGACCTCATGAGGGAAAAAGCATCAGCCCCATCTAGTGGATTGAAAAGTCAATTGATTTTATTATTCTCGTACCAAAAGTTATATTAAAATGTGCATTAGCAAAAATTAATAATGTATTTAATTAAAGATCGATACTTGGCATCAGTGTATCGATAATATGCTGTATCGATTTGTTCGTTTAGCACAGACACCTTACAGCAAGAGGGTTTTGGGTATGAACAAGCTGGCTGGTCGGGGTCCTTCTGCGTTGAATTTGCATGTTTTCTCTGGGTACTCCAGCTTCCTCCCACAGTCCAAAGACTTCCAGGTTAGGTTTACTGGTGACTCTAATTTGCCTGTAGGTGTGAATGTGAGCATGAATGGTTGTCTGTCCCTAAATGTCAGCCCTGTGATAGTCTGGTGACCTGTCCAGGGCGCTCCCCCACCTCTTACCATGAGTCAGCTGAGATAGGCTCCAGCCCCCCCATGGCCCTGAACAGGATAAGCGGTTACAGATAATGGAATTTGTAACAGGCAACTGATATCTTGGTAGAGTCTTGGTATGTATATGATATGTGCTGCTGTGTCAAACAGGCATGAGGGCTGTGTTTTCTACAGGAAGAGGCAACAAACCAAAGTGTCAGATTGCATTATGATGATCATTATCTGGAAGTCATAATATTATACTGGGTGGTTTGTTGCATAGAGGAAGAAGACTGTGGAAATGCAGGTTTAAGGGGGTTGTAAAAGATGAAAGCATTATGCAGGACATGCTCAGGCCTCCCAGCTCAGCTCCTTTACTGGAAATGACGTTGACCACTAGTCTGACTAAGAAGTATTGACTTGTATTGGATGGCAGCATCAAGCAGAGAGTGTACTGTCATTGTCAGGCTTTGATGTTAGTCTGTAAGATAAGATATTGATCTGACGCAGGGAAACTGAAAGTCTCACAGCAGTAAAAGGACGTACAAAAAAACATACAGTATGTGTACTACTAGCCTTAAACACACTATATGTACTAGGGGTGGGAATCACCGGAGGATCCATGATATGATATTATCATGACATTAAAGTCACAATACAATATTATTGTGATTTTAATATGTTTCTGAGTATTGTGATAAGAAAAATTGTGATAAATTGCGGTTTCTGACCTTTTTTTCAACTGTGAATTATGTCCCCAAAGGAAAACTTTGTCAACATCTTTTTTTATCTAAGAAGATACATTTTTCAAGCTGTTCATCTCACCCCAGCCATTTGTTTTGCAGCAGCAAAATGTATCTAGTGGACTGAAAAAGCAACTGATGGTGTTATTGTAGTAGGCTACCTAAAGTTTAATCTGTATTGGTCAAATTAATCTTGGCACTGTGTGATGGTACAATATTGCCACACAAAAATATCACAATACTCTGCTGTATTGATTTAATGAATGAAATTTGAATTTTTTTGTAGAGCTGCTTGTAGCACATTCTTTAGCTCAGTCAGTCACCCCGCTTCCTCTCTCTCTGTCTGTTCAACAGACTGCAAATGACACAAACTAGCTAGCAACCTCCGCCTCATTCTCCTGTGCAGGAGACTATTCACTGGAAGGAGAGCAGGCAAAAGCGCCAGTTGAATTCAGCCAGTGCAAACCCCAGCATCAGAGTTTACAGCGGGCTGGATCTAATCTGTGTAATGGCAGCAACAGAAAGTTTGCACTGTGAATTTGCACTATGTTCTCAGACCATGCTGCATTCTCTCCTCACTTGCTTTGGCTTTGTTGTTCTTGAAATGGATATGATGTCACTTTACTCATAGACCACCACAATTAAAGCGGCAACAAAATTCTCACCTCTGTATTTGAATTACATCGATTCAGGCATTAAAAATAAGGATTAAAAAATCTTGAAATAAATAAATCATGATACTCGAATGAATGGATTTTATCCCCCACCCCTAATATATACTCGGTTGCTAGTTTGTTAGGTAGTGTTTAAGGATAGACCGATACATCGGCCAGCCGATATATCGGGCCGATATTTGAGTTTTTTACTTGTATCGGCATCGGCCGATACGCGCGTGGGTTCGCGGATTTATTTTTCCCTGGCATGATTTACAGACAGGCATCCACGGGCAGCTCTGTGTTGCCGGAAGACCTTGCAGCGCACATGCAGCGAATCCTACTGTGTACAGTAGTTGTTGTTTTATTTATGCTTCAGCTTAAATATTTGTTTATTTTATAAAGACATTACTGTAAGATTTAAGAGCACTGAACTCTTTTTTTTTATTTGAATGCATAATAATAATAATAATAATAATATTCTACCTCAACTTTCCATCTTGTTTTAGTATTTTTTACTGTTCAATAAATGTTTCTTATTTTAAACTTGAGACCTGTAATATTTGTTATCATTGTGTCATTTTTTTGATGTAAATTGAGGGAGCAAAAAGCAGTATCGGCCCCAAATATCGGCTCAAGAAAATCGGCAGTCCATAATCGGTCATCGGCTAAGGGTGATGGAAAAAAATCGGTATCGGCATCGGCCCTAAAAAATCCATATCGGTCTATCCCTAGTAGTGTTTGGTCGTGGAGTGGGGCATCAGTAATACACTTTCAACCTTATTGTGTATGTAGGCTACAGTATGTAGTGCCTTACTTGTGTTCCTTGTTTTTCATGTTTCATATTAGATGCTGAAGATGTACACTGCTGAGAACCGATTACACACCCCACTACTGAGCTTACACTCCTGTTCCACAATGTGTTTTGGTTTTATTCATCGATCTCTTTGAAAGGCTGAAACATGGCAATTGAGAAAGTTGACTGATTGGAATTTGTCACTCCACGAGGACTTTGCCAAACAGTTTATGCTGAGGTAGCAATGGCTTTAATGTCTCTGCTTGTATTGGGTCATTGAGTGCAGTGCTGCACATTGCTGAGTGGGGCTGCTTTATGGCAGGCTTTACAGATTTTTTTTTAACATTACGTGACATTCATTTGGCAGATGCTGTTGTCCAAAGCTACTTAAAATAAGTGCCTTCAAACTCCTTGAGCGAGAGCTCAGTGTCATCAAAAACTGGAAGTGCATTTCTTTGTGCATCAATGTGAGAATTCCCTAGATTTTTATGATATGTAATTCACAAGATTAAGCTGAAAACAGACAAATGTTATTTATATTTCACCTATAAACTAGCACTGCATGATTATTGCCAAAATGATGTTCACAATTATTTGAGCCTGTGTGAAATGTAGCCTCAGTTTCGTGTTTGCTGACAGGAGTGTCACCTGGTGTTGTCTTCTGCTGCTGTAGCCCATCTGCTTCAAGGTTCAACATGTTGTTAGTTCAGAGATGGTCTTCTGCAGACTTTGGTTGTAATGAGTGGTTATGTGAGTTACTGTTGCCTTTCTATCATCTTGAACCAGTCTGGCCATTCTCCTCTGACCTCTGGCATCAACCATGCATTTTCACCCAGAGAACTGCTGCTCACTGGATATTTTCTCTTTTTCAGACCATCCTCTGTAAACTCTAGAGATGGTTGTGTGTGAAAATCCCAGTAGATCAGCAGATTCTGAAATACTCAGACAAGCCCATCTGGCACCAGCAACCATGCCACGTTCAAAGTTGCTTAAATGACCTTTCCTCCCCATTCTGATGCTTGGTTTGAACTTCAGCAGGTTGTCTTTACCATGCCTACATGCCTGAATGCATCAAGCTGCTGCCACGTGATTGGCTGATTAGCTATTAGCGTTAACCAGCAGTTGGACAGGTGTACCCAGTAAAGTGGCCCTAGAGTGTATGTAAATATAAATAATAAAATAAAATAGAAATAAAAATGTGCATGATGCTACAATGTTTAACACTAGTACTGAAGATATTAAGAATAAAAAATATGTGCTGAGTCTGTAAATGTCACTAAACCTCACTTCTGTTTTACAGCAGGGTCTTACATGATGAAGAGCATGTAAAAGAGACAAAAGCCAAAGAAAATATTGTAGCTTGAGCAGGGCAAGGTGTTTTAAATTAACATGTTAATTTACAGAGTCTGTGTT